CCACTCTGATTCCACTTTGGGGTGAAAAGGGCAGCATATAAATGTTGTAAATAAATAAATAAACAGTATTTCTTGTCGTTTCTTTGTCAGTGTTGAGAAGGGCAGCATATAAATCTCGTAAATAAAGATTGTCTGTTTTGCCAACTCTGGAACAAGCAACGTATCATTGTCCTTCTTTAGGGGTCCCTTTAAAATCTATACTATACTAGCCGTTCCCTGCCATGCTGTGGCCCAGTCTGGTGATCTGGAAAATAATGAGAAAGTGCTGGTTTCTAATATATGTAATTTCTTTATGCTTGTGGGTAAACAGTATTTCTTGTTTCTTTGTCAGTGTTGATGTGGAGATTGTCTGGTTTGCCTACTCTGGAACATGCAACATATCATTGTCCTTTTTTAGGGGTCCCTTTCAAATCTATGATACTATATCTCTGTGTGTGTGTGAATCATATCTATCTATCTATATCTATGGCTGGATGGCTCTTTGTCAGGAGGGCTTTGATTATGTTTTCTTGCCCTGGTGAAGGGAGTTGGACTGGATGGCCTTAAGTATTTTCTGTTGGTCATGGGTTCTGTGTGGGAAGTTTGCCCCAATTCTGTGTGGGTTCAGAATGCTCTTTGATTGTACGTGAACTATGAATCCCAGTGACTACAACTCCCAAATGTCAAGGTCTATTTTCCCCAAACTCCATCTGTGTTCATATTTGGGCATATGGAGTATTCGTGCCAAGTTTGGTCCAGATCCATCATTGTTTGAGTCCACAGTGCTCTCTGGATGTAGGTGAACTACAACTCCCAAACTCAAGGTCAATGCCCACCAAACCCTTCTAGTGTTTTCTCTTGGTCATGGGAGTCCTGTGTGCCACATTTGGTTCAATTCTATCGTTGGTGGATTCAGAATGCTCTTTGATTGTAGGTGAACTATAAATCCCAGCAACTACAACTCCCAAATGACAAAATCATTTTTTTTTTTAGTGAAGGACATACATTGGGTTGCTAGGTGTCTTGTGTCTAAATTTGGTGTCAATTCGTCCAGTGGTTTTTGAGTTCTGTTAATCCCACAAACGAACACTACATTTTTATTTATATAGATCTGTCATATACATATGTGTATGTGTGAATCATATCTATCTATGGCTGGGCTGGATGGCTCATTGTCTGGTGGGCTTTGATTATGAAGGTGAAGGGAGTTTGACAGGTTGGCCTTCTGACAGCATTTCTCAACCTGGGGGGAGGGACCCCTGGGGGGAGGGTTGCGAGGGGGTGTCAGAAGGGTCACGAAAGACCACCAGAAAACACAGTATTTTCTGTTGGTCATGCGGGTCCTGTGTGGGAAGTTTGGCCCAATTCTATCATTGGTGGGGTTCAGGATGCTCTTTGATTGGAGTTGAACTATAAATCCCAGCAACTACAACTCCCAAATATCAAGGTCTGTTTCCCCCAAACTCCTTATATTTGTTCATATTTGGGCATATGGTGTATTCGTGCCAAGTTTGGTGTAAATCCTTCATTGCTGAGTCCATAGTGCTCTCTGGGTGTAGGTGAACTACAACTCCAAAACCAAATACAACTGTATTGTCGAAGGCTTTCATGGACGGAATCACTAGGTTCTTGTGGGTTTTTTCGGGCTATAGGGCCATGTTCTAGAGGCATTTCTCCTGACATTTCGCCTGCATCTATGGCAAGCATCCTCAGAGGTAGTGAGGTCCTCACTACCTCTGAGGATGCTTGCCATAGATTTATTTATTTATTTTATTTGCTTTACTTCTATACCGCCTTTCTCAGCCGAATGGCGACTCAAGGCGGTTTACATAGTCGAATGGCGACTCAAGTCGAATGGCGAATAGTCGAATGGCGACTCAAGTTTACATAGTCGAATGGCGACTCAAGTCGAATGGCGACTTTCTCAGCCGAATGGCGACTCAAGGCGGTTTACATAGTAAAGGTTATCATAACAATATCAAAGAAGACAATTAAAAACACATTATACAAGATATACAGATCAAAAACAATCATTATCATAAGCCTCAGCAAACAAATCAGAATCAGAATCCGTAATACCAATTCCTATGTTCGGTTGTACCATCTTCATGTATTCATTGCACTATTTAGCCAAACGCTTGTTCGTAAAGCCAAGTCTTGACCTTCCTCCGGAATGCCAGCAGTGAAGGGGCCTGTCTGATGTCCACAGGTATGGCATTCCACAGCCGAGGGGCCACCACCGAGAAGGCCCTGTCCCTCGTCCCCGCCAACCGCACCTGCGATGCAGGCGGGACCGAGAGCAGGGCCTCCCCAGACGATCTTAATGTCCTAGTCGGTTCATAGGTGGAGATGCGTTCGGAGAGGTAAGTAGGGCCAGAACCGTTTAGGGCTTTATAGGCTAAAGCCAGCGTGTGCTCCCTGAGTGCCGCTCCTGTTAGCAACCTGGCTGCCGAACGTTGGACCATTTGAAGCTTCCGAGCAGTCTTCAAGGGCAACCCCACGTAGAGAGCGTTGCAGTAGTCTAAGCGGGATGTAACCAGAGCGTGGACTACCATGGCCAAGTCAGACTTCCCAAGGTACGGGCGCAGCTGGCGCACGAGTTTTAACTGTGCGAATGCTCCCCTGGTCACCGCCGAAACCTGGGGTTCCAGGCTCAGTGATGAGTCCAGGGTCACACCCAAGCTGCGAACCTGTGTCTTCAAGGGGAGTGCGACCCCATCCAACACAGGCTGTAACCCTATACCCTGTTCGGCCTTGCGACTGACCAGGAGTACCTCTGTCTTGTCTGGATTCAATTTCAATTTGTTCGCCCTCATCCAGACCGTCACAGCGGCCAAGCACCGGTTCAGGACCTCGACAGCCTCCTTAGTAGCAGGTGGGAAGGAGTGACAGAGTTGGACATCATCCGCGTACAGATGACACCGTAGCCCGAAACTCCGGATGATCTCCCCCAGCGGCTTCATGTAGATGTTAAACAACATGGGAGACAGTATTGAGCCCTGAGGAACCCCACAAGACAATGGTTGTGGGGTTGAACAGGTGTCCCCCAACAACACCTTCTGAGATCGACCCTCTAGGAATGACCAGAGCCACTGCAAAACAGTACCTCCAAGACCCATCCCTGCGAGGCGTCCCAGAAGGATACCGTGGTCGACGGTATCGAAGGCCGCTGAGAGGTCCAGCAGCACCAACAGGGACACACTCCCCCTGTCGAGCTCCCGGCGCCGATCATCCACTAAGGCGACCAAGGCTGTCTCGGTACCATGCCCCGGCCTAAAGCCAGACTGTGCCGGGTCCAGATAATCCGTGTCTACCAAGAATGCCTGGAGTTGTGAGGCCACCACACGTTCCAGGACTTTGCCCAAAAAGGGGAAGATTGGAAACTGGCCAATAGTTGTCGAATTGAGTGGGGTCCAGTGATGGTTTTTTCAACAGCGGTTTTGTTATAGCTTGTTTTAAGCTCGCTGGAATGCCTTCCCGAAGGGAGGCATTAACCACCTTCACCCTCCGCCAATCCCCCTCTGGCCTCCTTTAGAGCCAGGATGGGCAGGGGTCTAGGATGCATGTGGTAGGCTCTCATTCCTCCATGTATCTTGTCCACATCCTCGGGTTTCACCAATTGAAATGAATCCAATAAAACCGGACAAGCAGATGTTCCAGCTACATCCTCAGAGACTGCCGTTAATATGGTCTGTATATCAGTGGTTCTCAACCTGGGGTCCCCAGATATTTTTGGCCTTCAATTCCCAGAAATCCTAACAGCTGGTAAACAGGCTGGGATTTCTGGGAGTTGTAGGCCAAAAACATCTGGGGACCCCAGGTTGAGAACCACTGCTCTAGAACATGGCCCTATTGCCCGAAAAAACCCACAAGAGCGTACCAAATACAACTGTTTTGGTTTGCTCCTGACACAATAAATAAATAAATAACTCCAAAACTCAAGGTCAATGCCCTCCAAACCCTTCAGGGTCCGAGGCTGTTAGGAATTGTGGGAGTTGAAGTCCAAAACTCTACGTGGGGTTGCCCTTGAAGACGGCCCGGAAGCTTCAACTGGTCCAGCGTGCGGCAGCCATGTTACTAACAGGAGCGGGACGCAGGGAGCATACAACGCCCTTGTTGTACCAGCTCCATTGGCTGCCGATTTGCTACCGGGCTCAATTCAAGGTGCTGGCGTTGGCCTATAAAGCCCTAAACGGTTCCGGCCCAAGATACCTATCTGACCGCATCTCGGCCTACGAGCCCACGAGGACCTTGAGATCGTCTGGGGAGGCCCTTCTCTCGATCCCGCCTGCATCACAGGCACGGCTGGCGGGGACGAGGGAGAGGGCCTTCTCGGTGGTGGCCCCCCGGCTGTGGAACACTCTCCCGGCACACATTAGACAGGCGCCCTCCCTCATGTCCTTTCGAAAAAGCCTTAAGACCTGGTTGTTCGAGAGGGCATTTAATTAAGTGCTAAGCAACAAACAATACGGTAATGAGAACTGGAATGGTACAAGGAAGATGAGACTGGCTATGATTCTACTAAGAGACGAAGCGGATTTTTATGTAGTCTGTAATTGTTGTATAGTTATATGTTGTTGATACTGGGTTTTGTACTGTCTTTTATGTGTACTGTACACCGCCATGAGTCGCCCGCATGGGCTGAGAATGGCGGTCAATAAGTGCATCAAATAAATAAATAAATAAATATATCCCAACAGCTGGAAGGCCCACATTCCCTTTGCCTGGCCTAGAGTCTGAGCAGCATAGCAAAAACCGATCTGCGCATGCGCCCTACACACACACAGAGGATGGCTGAGGTTACTAGAGCGACTCTTCTGACTCCTGCCCAGGTGACGTCACCCAAGAGAAGCGTGATTGGTCAGCTCCGCGAAGGGTCCGAAGGCAGAAGAGGGATGGAGAAGTCCGTGGTGCGCATGCGTACGAGGAGAAATCCCGTTGCCTCTTCTGATTGGCTATTTGGCTCTCCTCCTCCTCCTCCTCCGGCGGAGGGGTAACCATAGAGACGGGCTTCTCGCGGGTTAGCGTCGTCGGGGGAGGTCACCCGGAAGCGGATCCTGGCAGGCCGTGGATCTGAGGGAAAGTGGGGGGAGGAGAGGACGAGGAAGGAGCCGAGGCGTGATGGCCGCCGCCGCCGCTCTGGACGCTGTGCAGTGACTCTTGGGCCCAGTCTCCCCATGGGACTCCCCGCCTCGGAGGAAGGACGCTGAGCCACTCGCCTTCCCTCAGGGACGCACCGCCAGCCGGGCTGCGGCCTGCTCCTGAGGCTCCGCCGGAGGGGAGAGGGGAGAGGGGGACAGGCTTGGGCCTGAGTGGAAGGCCCACCGGGGAGGGAGTGGGAAGGAGGCTGAGTTTCCACAGAACAGCCCCCCACTAGAGTCCTGGTAAAAATTCCCCCCCAAAAATTATCTAACTCTGTGTGTTAATTAGATTTTAAGGAGAAGCCTTACCTTGTTTGGTTTGGCCAAAACAAGATTACATTTAGGTTGGGGGCTTGTCACAGAATAGGCCCCCATTTGAGTCCTGGTAATAATTCCAAAAAATATCTATCTCTGTATGTTAATTGGATTTTAAGGAGAGGCTGTAGCTTGCTTGGTTTGGCCAAAACAATATTACATTTAGGTTGGGGGCTTGCCACAGAATAGACTCCCATTTGAGTCCTGGTAAAAATTCCAAAAATATATTTTTGTGTTAATTGGATTTTAAGGAGAAGCCGTAGCTTGTTTGGTTTGGCCAAACCAATATTATATTTAGATTGGGGGCCAAACCAAGATTATATTTAGGTTGGGGGCTTGAGCCGGGTTTGCCACAGAATAGGCCCCTATTTGAGTCCTGGTAAAAATTCCAAAAATAATAATAATTATCTATCTCTGTGTGTTAATTGGATTTTAAGGAGAAGCCTTAGCTTGTTTGGTTTGGCCAAAACAAGTTTATATTTAGGTTGGGGGCTTGAGCTGGGTTTGTCACAAAATAGGCCCCTATTTGAGTCCTGGTAAAAATTCCAAAAAATTATCTATCTCTGTGTGTTAATTGGATTTTAAGGAGAAGCCTTAGCTTGCTTGGTTTGGCCAAAACAATATTAAATTTAGGTTGGGGGGCCAAACCAAGATTATATTTAGATTGGGGGCTTGAGCCAAGTTTGCCACAGAATAGGCTTCCATTTGAGTCCTGGTAAAAATTCCAAAAAAAATCTATCTCTGTGCGTTAGAGTACTGGTAAAAATTTTGGTTTGGCCAAAAAAAATATTATATTCAGGTTGGGGGTTTTGCCACAGAATAGGCCCCTATTTGAGTCCTGGTAAAAATTCAAAAAAAATATCTATCTCTGTGTGTTAATTAGATTTTAAGAAGAAGACTTAGCTTGTTTGGTTTGGCCAAACCAATATTATATTTAGGTTGGGGGCTTGAGCCGGGTTTGCCACAGAATAGGCTCCCATTTGAGTCCTGGTGAAAATTCCAAAAAATATCTATCTCTCTGTGTTAATTAGATTTTAAGAAGAAGCCTTAGCTTGTTTGGTTTGGCCAAAACAAGTTTACATTTGGGTTGGGGGCTTGAGCTTGGGTTGGTTTGCCACACAATAGGGCCCCATTTGAGTCTGGCCAACATTTCCAAAAAATATCTGTCTGTGTGCAAATTGCATTTTAAGGAGAAGCCATTTAAAATGATATATTTGGGTTCTAGTTCTTGAGGGCCATGCAGGCCTTTCAGGTCAGAGTTAGGTGACACTTAGAAGGGTCTGCAAAGAGATTGGTTACTCTTTGGTGCTTGCAGAGCCTGTAAAAAGATTGGCTGCTCTTCCATTGGCTGCAGATTGGAACACAAAGGGCTTGGGTGGCAGGGGTTTCTCCAAACTGATGCAAAGAATGTTGTCAGATCCTGTGAGGCAGGTCAGGACTTCCTGTAGGTACTTCCATATAGAGGTCTAGATTAATACAGGTTGTTAGTAGTGCTAATATGAGCCCCAGCTGGTCTGTGTAGCTTGGGTGAGGCATTTTCTTTGAACCCCATTCAGGCCTTTCAGGTCAGAGTTAGGTGACACATCGATTGGCCGCTCTTCCATTGGCTGCAGATTGGAACACAAAGGTGGCAGGTGTTTCTCCATACTGATGCAAACAATGCTGTCAGATCCTGTGTGCCAGGTCAGGACTTCCTGATGGTACTTCCATATCGAGTTCTAGATTAATTAAAATTGTTGGTATTGCTAATATGAGCCCCAGCTGGTCTGTGTAGCTTGGGGTGAGGTATTTTTATTGAACCCCGTTCCGGCTCGTCGTCCTTCTTTCTTTGCTGCGGTTTCCCATCAAGCGTCGCCGATGCCAGAACAAGGCCCCAGAATGAACGGTTTCTCCTTGGGTGAGCTCTGTTGGCTCTTCTGCTGCCCGCCTTGCCCCAGTCGCATTGCGGCCAAGCTGGCTTTCTTGCCGCCGGAGCCCACTTACACCGTGATGCAGCCCGAACAGCAGGAAGGTGGGTCTGCCGTGGGCACACCGACAGGGAGCTGCAGCCTGCACCTGACTGAGCGGGCCGACTGGCAATATTCCCAACGGGAGCTGGACGCAGTGGAAGTCTTCTTTTCGCGCACGGCCCGGGATAACCGGCTAGGATGCATGTTTGTGCGCTGCGCCCCTTCCAGCCGGTATACACTACTGTTCTCCCACGGCAATGCTGTGGACCTGGGCCAGATGTGCAGCTTCTACATTGGCCTAGGCTCTCGCATCAACTGCAATGTCTTCTCCTATGATTACTCTGGTTACGGAGTGAGCACTGGTAAACCGTCTGAGAAAAACCTTTATGCAGACATCGATGCTGCTTGGCAGGCCCTCAGAACAAGGTAAATGGTTGGGTGAATACAGTTGCCTTCAAAACGGTGGTGGGTATTTCTAATCAAATCTTTTGAGCTTGTCTCTTGCTTGACATCACATTTGTGACCAGTTGATTTTCAATTATGGGCTATCTCCTAAGTTATCACAGAATCGTAGAGTTGGAAGAGACCTCATAGGCCATCCAGGCCAACCCCTGCTAAGAAGCAAAATCACATTCAAAGCACCCCTGACAGATGACCATCCAGCCTCTGTTTAAAAGCCTCCAAAGAAGGAGCCTCCACCACACTCCAGGGCAGAGAGTTCCACTGCTGAACAGCTCTCACAGTCAGGAAGTTCTTCCTAATGTTCAGATGGAATCTCCTTTCTTGTAGTTTGAAGCCCTTGTTCATTGTAGTCTCCATGGCAGCAGAAAACAAGCTTCCTCCCTATGACTTCCCCCCACATATTTATACATGGCCATCATGTCTCCTGTCAGCCTGCTCTTATGCAGGCTAAAGCTTTAAAGCCCTTAATGGTTCTGGCCCAGACTACCTGTCCCAACGTATCTCATCCTATGAACCATCACGAAATTTAAGTTTTTCAAGAGAGGTCCTGCTCTCAATCCCACTGTTATCACAAACGCGGTTGGAGGGGACAAGAGACAGGACCTTCTTGGCAGTGTCCCTCCCCCTCCGTCTGTGGAACTCTCTCCCTAGGGACATCAGGTTGGCCACCTCCCTCCTGTCCTTTAGAAGACAAGCGAAGACTTGGCTCTGGGACCAGGCGTTTGCTTAATCAAATAGCAGCAATTGGAAAAAAAAGACTTAGGATATTTACAACATTGAATCTGCCTAAACTTGGATTTGGTTTTACCAGCATGTATAATCTACTGTCTAATGAATTGTATAATGTGTTTTAATTATTTTTAATGTTTTAATGGTTTTAATTCTACTTTGAATTGACAGTATCATATGGTGCTTGTGTGAGGCTGCCCTGAGCCCCCCTTCGGGGGGAAAAGGGTGGGGTAAAAGTGCATGCAATAAATAAACAAACATGCCCAGCTCTTTAAGCTGCTGCTCATAGGGCTTGTTCCCCAGACCTTTGATCATTTTAGTGGCCAGAGATACAAACATTTGATTTATGAATGACTCATAGTTAAGAACAGGAAGGGAGAGAAATTACCCCAGGAAAGGACATTCACTCCTGAAAGAGTTATCATGGGAAAAGATGTCTCCACTGACGCTTTATCACCAACCCTTGTTTTCACAACAAGCTGAATTTTTCAAAATCCAATCATCACAGGGACAGAAAGTGAGGTGAAATCTTCTTAACAGGGGCACAGGCTGCAAAACAAACACTACACACTTTCTTGTGAAATTCAAAGTTAAAATATAGCTGGAGTTACAATTAAAAATTTACCTTTCCAACTTACATACAAAATTAACTCAAGAACAAACCTGCAGAACCTATCTTGTTTGTAAATCTGTTCTTAACTGTGAGTCGCTGTAAGCTGGATGTTTGTAACTGGGGTACTGTCTGTAAATGAATGCTGACACCATTCAAGTTGTACTGGCTAAGAAGACCTGTTGATTTGAGGCTGGAGTCTTTTGAAGTTTTTTAAAGCATGTAAGACATTTTTAAAATTTGAAAAAATCTAAGGGGCTCAGTTATGCTTATGGCTGGGGTCAGTTCCAAAGTGGTTTGGCAGGAACCAGTTTCACTGTGCAAATGGCTAGATTGCCATTTCTGGGACAGATTTGAGGCCAGAGTGATGATCACATTAACCACGGAAGGTGGACTCAATTCAGTTCCAGAATATTCACTATCTGTGGCTTGACAGTTGCAAAGAATGTGGGACTTTTCCTCCAGTTTCCCACGCAAGATGTGCACGTTCTCTTGGAAGGTACACAAGGTGGAAAGAAAGAATCAGGAAGTGATAATTAGCAGTGGAGATAGTCAATTACCTGTGCTATGTGATCAATTGGCCATCTGTTGCCCAGCCTTGTTCCAAAGTTCCCAATGTGCATTACCGTGTTGACTCTCCACTATTAACATTGCATTATGTGAAGCCAGTTTGTTGTACACTGTGGCTTCCATTGCAGCTGTGATGCACTGCATTCAGGGACTTATTTTGGGCTTTCTCCCAACTTTGCTTGATGTACTTTAATCCCCTTAACACATGCTGCAGTGTGCTTTGGTGGTGTACATTGTATAATCATGGTGTAGATGGGCCCTAGGTTATGCCCACATACCTGGAAGTAAGCTTTTCTGAACTCAACGGGAGTTACTACGGAATTGGATCATCAGTGTCTCATTATTCTTTCTTCTGTAAAATGCTTTAACTTTCCTCATCCCATTGTTCCATACATTTAAATAGTCATCATTCAGTTTGGAGGCTTATACACCCATCATAAGACTATCCAAATAATAGATATGACTAAGCATATACAGTAATTTTTCTTCATACTCCCTTTAAACAAACATCCTTATCCCTATGAGCAAGTCATGACCTTTTCTCTCAAACTTAAATTCTTTTATAGTCTTGATAACTTGTAAGACATGAACCTGTTCAGAGCGTGTTGACCTCTTTCACAAGGACAGTTCTGTAGAATTTCCCGTGGTTTGTTGATGTGCACCTTGAAGTCTTTTCCAAGTTATGGCAATCCTATTGTGAACATATGATGGGGATTTTGGGGACTGAGAATGTATAACGTCCAATCCACTGAGTGGATTTTCATTTGAGTTGAGTTAGTTCTGACTTTGGGTTTTTAGACAAAAATCAAACTTTTCTAATTCAGAAAGCTAAATTCTTTATGGTCACTATAAATACAATGACCACTTATGTTAAGTACTATACATAGGTTGTGTATTTCCTTATAGTAAAAAATAAAATAAAACCACAAATTCAATTGGAAGCAGAAGATTCATAATCCAAGCTGTGGAAGATTCTGTTTCATGTTAATGGTCAGACAATGGTGGTGGTAGAGTGGATTGAACTGTTTTAGAGGGCAGAAAGTAGACACATCACATCCGTTCCCAACTTTGCGCACTGTAGATGTTTTGGCCTACAAGTCCCATCCTCCTCTTCCTGCATGGTCACTCAAAGATACTATTCAAAAACTCCTGGAGGGTTCTTGGTTCAGGAGGGTTTAATATAAAGAATTTGGAACTGGATACAAGGAGAAGGTCCCCAGCCAATAAAACAAACCTCCAAAAGGATTGTTGTAGGGTTTTGTTTTTCCCAGGCTACATGGCCATGTTCTAGAGGCATTCTCTCCTGACGTATCGCCTGCATCTATGGCAAGCATCCTCAGAGGTAGTCACTACCTCTGAGGATGCTTGCCATAGATGCAGGCAAAACGTCAGGAGAGAATGTCTCTAGAACATGGCCATATAGCCGCGGGGTGGGGGGGATACAACAATTTCAGCCATGAAAGCCTTCGACAATACATTAAACCTCCAAAATCTGGACAGCCTGTGGAGATCTGAAATTTGTGTTCAGATAAGCTGAGATATGAACCATGACTTCTGGTTGTATCTTTAGCTGTTCTTTGGTAGCAGGAACAACCAAACCAGGATGTTTTCTGTTCATTGTGATTTTCAAGTTTCTAATCCAGGAAATGAACCTCAGAGAAACTTAGGATATAAATCAAAGGCTAGAAGTTCACTTGGTGTACTGGTTTGTTATTAACCACAGTAGTGTGCTTCATGTAGCATGAGAAGTGACATAGAAAACAGCAATTTGGTGCTTACATTTGGAGCCAAAGAAAGTTGACTTAAGGTTTTTTAATTGATTATGTGATTAAAAATTATAGACTAAAATATGAATATACAGCAGTGGTTCTCAACCTCTGGATTCTCAGGCGTTTTGTCCTACAACTCCCAGAAATTCCAGCCAGTTTACCAGCTGTTAGGATTTCTGGGAGTTGAAGGTAAAAACATCTGGGGACCCACAGATTGAGAACCACTGGTAGAGTAAGGTGCTGATGTGTTCAGGGAACATCACACATTTAAATTATGCAAAGAAGTCAAAATCCTGGCCAGTTCATTGAGGACATGTTCAGCGACCTCAAGGTGCAAGGTTGGGTATCATTTGCAAAAGGCAACTGAAGATTGAATAGCTACCAGCTTATAGTATCCAGAAACAGGTTACTGGTCGCTCAGGCTCCAATTATATTCCTATGAGACGGATTGTATAATGTCGATACGAATCACTTGTATGGATTATTTTTCTTTTCCTCAGAAATCTGTCATGCAGGAAGGGACTGTCCTGTCTCCATCTCTTATTATGCTGGCCTTACCTCCATATTTAAAATGAACTTAGAGGCTTCTTTCATAATACTTCAGCATACTCTTGTTCCTTTTGATCTTCAGTCACCCATAGTCTCTTTACAGCCTTGTGCATGTAGTGGCCAATGAACCCTGTCTTGCCCAGTTTCTAATTTACTTTTTTCCTTTGCCTGGTTGTTAATTGTAATAATAATAATAACACCACTTTATTTACATTCCGCCCTTCTCCCCGAGGGGGCTCAGAGTGGATTACAGCATATAAACAGACACGGAGAAACATTCAGTGCTTTGTTACAATGAAAAACAATGAGACACAAACATAAAATACAAGACAAAAATCACACAAAGCATCATAACGTTCAGAAATTTATTTATTTATTTATTTATTATTAAACTTTATTTATACCTCTCCACCATCTCCCCTCAGGGACTTGGGACGGCTAACATGAGGTCAAGCCCAAACAAATACAGTGAGCAAATAAAATACATACAGCAAATAATAACAAAATAAAAATTCAATTTCAGTAGTAAGTTGATGGTCAAAGGGGAGCTAGTTGATAAAACTCTCCAGTACTGTCATCCTATAAGGTATCAGTGACTTGAAGTAACTTTGGGCTTGGCTAGCTAGCATTGAGGTCACGACACAGTAGCGGAAAATGAAGATGGTAGAGCAGTTCTGCTGCACCAACTTCTCTGGTCAATGCTGGACAGTGGGATGGAAGGCTGAGTGGAGCGCAGC